ACCGACTACCGACAACTTTGACCGGTTAACGTTGATACGGTCAACCACCGGTCAAACGGTCATCGGTTAACATCCCTAGTGGGAACAGATTCCCAACAGATTGTTCCGGATAAAATTCCACGCTCTCACTACTCATGTCATGTAATCAATATAATACAACCTATAAAAATCAGGTCTCAGCATTCCAATTAATTCCAAAATAATTAAAATAAAAGCATACCCATATTACAAAGGTCAGGCATGAAGTGCAATGACTGAAATTGGAAAAAAAAAACCAAAATAATATGAACAGGAGGATATTTTTATATTTTGTTTAGTCACAGTCTACTTTGAAAGTTTTCGGGAAAGTCTGGCTTTCTTTAGCTACTTTCATGGAGTACCTCTCTGGATTTCCAACAAAGGCGCAACAAGAGTGTTTTGATATGAAGACAAGTGGAGAGAAGAAGACCACCACACATGTAAGGAGTTTGTCCACTCAACAAAGTGAGGAGCTTTCCTAACATCACAGGTGGCTGCTGAGTCTGTCATATGACAGGTCAGATCATACTGCCAAGCCCACACTGGCCACACCTGCACAGACACTCCACCCATGATCCCGCTCCTTACTGAAAACCAAACCGCACCCCCACAGCACTGCCGTACATACCCAGCGGTGGCTGCAGCATGCCCCCATTCTTCTCACAGTTGCCGATGGGCTGGATCTCGGAGGAGTCCACCAGGCGCCAGAAGTCATTCTTGTTGTCGCTGCCATCGAGACGTAGGCGCAGCCGCGAGCCGGTCAGGCCCACCACTGTGGCGATGCACGTGGACGTGGTGTTGCGTGGATCCTGGGCCTCCAGCTTCATTCCCGCCTTGAACTCATTCACCGGAGGCGTTGCACTCTGGAAAAGGGTGGGGGGGGGGGGGGGGTGGGGGGGGGGGGGGGGGTCAGGAGGTGAGTCCTGGAACCACTGTTCCCAGTCAATATCACAAAACTGGGTAATAGATGTCTTCATTTATCATATACACATATACACACACATACGACAGGAACAAGAGGATAAATAAATCAGAGTCAGACTCAGCAGCATGATACACATGGCTCTTCACCCTTTGGATCCAACGAGGCACGACCTGTTAGCTCAAAGCCGAGGGAACGCCATTCAGCAGCAGACCGGTACCTGTATTCATTTGCTCAGCAAACATTGCTCATGCAGCGCTGATCATATTCTATACCATTTCCCACCTGACAGGCAGCTACTTTGGCAAGAAGGCAGCCTTTCCCAAAAATCAAAGACATGAACAATCACTCAATCCCTTCATAAATTAATTAATAATGACCTTGGTTTCTTTCTTTTCTGCTGTCATGCGAGACGACACCAGAAACACCACAGAAAACCAGAAGAGGGTTTCAGTAAGATCCTTATTTTATCCTTAAATGGTTTCTGTCATCTGTCACATCGACTGGGCCACTGCTCGCTCACCTGTCGGAAACAGTAGGCGGGGGCCGCTGTGGCACCTGTCTCCTTCAGGTACTTCTCCCAGCTGAATTGTCCTGTGTAACGAGGCAGAAAAACCAAAGTGAAAGGCATCAGTGACCTTTGACCTCATGACACACGGGGGCAGAGGGAGCTGCTGTCAAATTAGAGGTCAACTGAAATTTTAAATTGCCACCAATCTGCAGCCTCCCCCTCCCCCCCAACATGACAGAAGAGTCAAAGCCTTTCTCCGACTACGTTATCCCAGTCCATCATCCCTTCAGAAAGTCAGGTACCAACTCCCCCCTCCCCCCAAATCTGACAGCAGCTCGTTACCCTGGTACTGGGTGGGGATCCGTGACGGCCGGCCGCTGCGGGCATGTTTGATCCGTCGTCCATCCTTCCACTCAAGCACTACAGGACAGAGAAATGGGGGGGGGGGGGTGAGTATGCAGCTGAAGGGACTGAACCCAAACATGGGCACATAGCCTTGCAGTCAGGCAGTATGCATTTCGTCAGGGGGACGGTGGTGTTACCTTTCTGAGGCCCTGGCTTCCCCATGCTCCAATAATACTGAGCAAACTGTCCAAACGGGGTCCACCGCTCTCTGCACCAGGGGCATCAAGGTTTGGGAGCGTAAACAAGACAGAATACGTATGTAAAGCCTGCAACACAAAAGTCAGCATTTTTCCCAGCCCTGCATGTAAACATGTCATTATCCAAAAATCACCATTTCTTCCATGGCTGGACACTTCAATGAAGTAATTCAAATTAATTATCTCAACATCGCTCAAAATTACTACAGCAGTACAGGCTCGTGAACCAGATATGTTTGGGTTGATGTCCTTAAACACCATGCTACCCGAATCCTGTTCTTCCACATCCGACATTGTGAAAATCCGAGTATCGTTTCTTCATCCATAAAAGCTCTGGTTCATATAAATTCCAGTTTTTAAATCCATCAAATGCCCTTTGAAGCTGAAAGGTGCTATATGAGTATTAAGATATTTCTTAACAATAATAACAAGTGGACAGATGGCAACTGTAAATGAGTGAATGGATTATTATTGCAAGGCAGCCCGGCTGTCAGTTCCCACCCTATTACACCATACTGATCATGGACCAAAAACACAGAACAGGAGCTTTGCTAAAACATTCGGGGATTAAGCCCTGTAAGCCCAACCCCTTGCGCCTCCCACGATGCTGACAGTTTGTTCAAGCAGCACAGAGTCATCTACAAGAGCAGGAGAGCTACTGCAGGAGCTGCTACACAGTGGTGGGAACACGACGCACGGACACCCAGTCTACACGGGAGAGGGGAACGCTCGGCAGGGGCAGAGAGGCAGGGAAGGCTGAATACAAAAGGCAGGATTCAGATGATGATGATGATGATAAAGGCATCAACCCAGGCTAAAGGGAGCTAAACTGAGCTGGGGCATCAGGTTGAGATGGGGGGTTGAACCAAAGACCCAAGGGGTAAACCGCCCAGCCAAGCTGGACTTTGAGGTCACGGGGTCAGACAGATAACAAGGCCCCACAGGCCAGGGCACTCATGGGTTGGTGGAAGGAAATTACACATGCGATTAGAACAAAGCACAGCATTTAATTAATAAGCGGGACTCATCCATCACAGACTCGATACATTATTTATAACACAACTGTCCACTCCTTATTTACTTCCAACATAGTTGCACAATTCGACTAAATAATTAACTGCATATATGTCAAAAAATAAATTAAAAAGTTGCAAAGGCAGTTAAAAACAAATTAATATTTTGCGATTTTATATTGCATCAGTCGTTTTAGCTGATTCCAGGCCCCACGTAGGGTTTATTGTTTTCCAAACACGTTAAGTACAATGCACACATACGTAGACTAGTTACGACACCGTTAAGTATTAGCAGGAAAAATAAAAGTTAGGGGCACTTTCGCATCTTACTCCTGAAACTGACAGCATGACCTACGCGTCGCCGGTAGAAGTTAACCAAACCTGCTCATTATACGGACCTCCATAATCCGCATCACGTTAAAATGATAAAAAGAAAATACATAATGGAAATTCCCAGAGTGCACGAAAAGTTTACTCGTGGTTAGCGGGCTAGCAACATGTTAGCGCACACGGTATCTATTTCAACAATCACTTCGTGCGCGTTCGCCACTGTTTTAGGGGAATTAATAAATTACAACGTAAATATTTAGAGAGAAATACCTTAATTGTACATAACAGCCTGGAAATGTGTCTCCCCCAGCTGTAATGTTCAGTGAAAAGAAGTGCGCCTTTTTCTTGCGCCAGGAGGATGGCGTCCAAATGAAGGCGACTCGGCTCCCTCCTATCCACCCCCCGCTCGGAAAAGAAAAAAATAAAATAAAATATAAATGACAGCAACGTTTATTTCTGGAGCTCCTTCCACTGACAGGCAGGGATATTATCGCCGGCTTGGAAGTCGCGCTCTGGTCCGCCTGAAACGTATATAAATATTAATGTAAATGCACGTTTCTGAAAGCGCCCGTCCCGTAACGCCGGGGTTAAAGCGATGTGCCAAAAAAAAAGGTACGCGCCCGGCTCCATTCAAAAAAAGAAAAGGGAAAAAAAGCACAAAGCCGACACACATGGAGGGGGGGCGGCCGGACTGACTGAGTACCCCGGGGGTGCCGCGGCGCGGCGGTTCGTCAGGGCCCGGAGATCCCGCTCGTCCGGCGGACGGCACGCGCGCGAGTCTATGCTTGGAAATTCCGGAAAATGCCGAACATAAAAATAATATTTTAAAAAAGTTGTTAAATAGAGATAAAAGAGAGCATGCTCGGCGACGGCGCGCGCGTCCGCCCGCTAGGCTGGCGCTGAGAAGCAGCGGCGTCCGCGCGCGGCCGAGTAGTGGCGGCGGAGAGCGGCTCGCTTTACCTTCGGCGCTCCTGGATGTTTATCTCTTATGCTTTTGTTTCATGTATTTTTTTCTGGTGTGGACTCAGTGAGTATCCGCCATGTTTTCTATTGCGCAGCACTGTTGACTAAGGGGAGGGGGGCTGCTGGCGGCTGGATGCGTATGGAGGGGTGAAGGAGACGAAGGGCTGAGAAAGAGACGACCCCTGGCGATGGAAACGCAGACAGGAGGCCGACTGGCGCGGCCATAACCTGAGGGCTCGGCGTTTATTTTCGTTTAACGGCGTTGCTTTCTCTAGTCCTTCGTGTGAGATGCGACACACACACAGAGATAAAGAGTAACTCAAAAACACACGGAGTCGTACAGATGGGCACAGACATACACCGCATTTTATGATTTATCTTCCATGCTACGAGGTAGCATTTCCTAGCAGCAACATCCTTCTCCTTTGTGGTGTGTGTAAGGGTCACCCTCAGATGAATGGGTGGCAAGATTACTACGTGCTTGGGGAATACGGGTAATCGAAATATTATAACGATTTTTGGTGATTATGGATTTTATTTTTTATTTTTAGCTAAATGTTATATATTCATAGATGGGTCTGTGGACATTTTCTCGGAATCTGTTTAAGGACTCAGAAAACAGGCGGTTTACACCTAGGACGAGTTCTCTGCATGTCCCTCACGTATAATAAGAACAGTTTAATGTCACAAGTCCAAATTTTAATGTCACAAAGGAATCTAACCCCAAAAGGACCGACC